CGATATTATTCGTTTCTATTTTTAGAAATACCGAATTTGCAAATCCTCCAAACAATTGAATGTACAAACCTTGGGTATTTAAATAATATCCAAGCTCTAAGTATGCAACAATACTCAACCAAACAAGAAATTTCATCTTCAAGAATTTTTTGTAATTCTTTTATGCAATGGTAATCCTTTCCGTCCAGATTTGGTGGTGGTTGATCATCTCCGACTACATTATACCAAGGATTTTCTTTTACGTTTTCTTCAATTTTCTTAGAGTCGATATCAAGGCCTTCACCCTCAGTATCATTTCTAGGTCGTTTACGCGAAAATGAATTATCCGATCCTTCGCCAACAATAGGATCAGATGCGGGAACATCGACGTATGAATAAATAGAGAAAGAGGAATTCCGTGAGATCGAGCTTTCCTCGTAATCAAGAGATTGGGAGCCGACACGCGAGTTCGTATGAACATTTAACAATCGACTTAATTCAAGAATTTTCTGTGGAAAAATATGATTAATGATTTCGAGGGATTGAGAGGATAGTTGGGATTGAAATCGTGCAACGTTCTCCTCAGCAATTTCGTTATTAGTTCCGGAGGATTGAAGGCATGCCTCGTCATTTTGTTGTGACATTGTGCAATTGACAAGTGAAAAAAGCTAAGAAAAGTCGCTTATATGAAGATGAGTAATCGATCAATGATATGACATTATGATATTGGGTTGATAATATCTTGTGGATTTGCAAATTCGGTATTTCTAAAAATAGAAACGAATAATATCGTGGTACAAAAAAAAAATCAATTTATAAAATTGCGACTTTTAAAACTAAGAATTTGCACGTTGAATATGCAAACTTTGTTGATTTGACAGAAATGGACATGTCAATGATTCGATTAAAAATTCGCTTGGTTTTCGAATCGTGTGAAAGAAAGATTATGTTGTTGGTAAATTCTGAAACCACTGTTGGAACGTTAAAACAACTTATCGGTCAACGATATAATGTCATTTATGGAACTGATATTATGTGAGCACAATAAAATCATTTTTATCTATAACCGAATTCGTCTACTCTAACAGATCCTTTTCTAATTTTTTCTTTAAATTTTTTACGCAAGTTCTCCAATAATAAATCAAATCATGACAGATGATGGATTTGCTTTGGCAGATTGTGATCGAGTTGGAAATTTCTTTGGTCAGGATAACGTAATTCTAGCAAAGGGTAATCAAGCACCCCATCGAGAAATTGCGAACATTGAGAGTAAATATAAGTAAAAATCAAAATCGAGAATCGCACGTTCTCAACCATTTGACATTTTAAAAATCTATTTTGTATCTTGCTCTTAATGAAATTCAGATGTCACCGAAGTTTCAAATGACGTTAACATTTTTGGAAAAAGAGGATTAGATAGTAATCAACTATCTGATAGTAGCGAATACCTCATTAATAGCAAAAGATATCGATTGCAGTACGACGAATCGTTAAATAATTGTATGGTCGCGACCCATCGCATTCTCGACAATCAAATTTTCGACAAGGCTAATAATAACGTTAATAGAATTTATGGGAACAATAAAAACTCAGGCAGGAAATCTAATCGTTATTTGACTATGTAATAACAATTTTTTTTCTTTTTAAATTCTTAATGATGTTTTATATTCTAGCAAATGGAGGGCACTCTCGTTCAGATCATAGTAGGAGCAAGGATCTCAGCAATAAAGTTACCATCAACCAAATGGATGTGACTTTGCATCAAGGCGGATGTGATGATCGGGCTTCTGTTAACGAAATACCGAAGCGCAGTATTTGGGATCCAGAAAAATATCGTGATGATAAGGGCGTTGGCATGAGAGGTTCGGTTCTCAGAGATCCTGTTGATGGCAATAATCACATTAAAAACATCTCTCATCTTTCATGTCATGGTTCAACTTCTGATGATGATATGATACCAAAAGAAAAGATTGTCCATATTGAAACTCGAAGTAGTACGAACTTTAATAATACTGATATCAATATCAGAGAAAAATCTTTCCTCGACGATGTTGAAAAAAACGCAAAACCATATTCCAAGAAGGATGAAAACGGACCTAGTAATTCATATGTCGGAAAAGAAATGGGTGCTGAAAATAAATCACCGTTACAAGGTAATATAGAACGGAACGAGAAATCCAAAGTGAAAGTTATTCATCAAAACAATGTAATTAATGATGATGAGAAATCAGAAAGTAGTGAGAGCGATGAGAGATCGGAAAGTGATGAGAGTGATGAAGATTTGGATAGTGATGACGAGCATGGTCATTTAGTCACCGACAAAACCGTTTTAGCAGACCATGCAACCCTCAACAAAGTGGTTAAGAGTGACAATTCTGGTGAATTGGACGATAACTCTACGGATAGTGTGAACAGTAGTGAAAATGATAGTGACATAGAGAGCAATGAGAATAATTTGATGGAGTATAGTAAACAAGAAGATAATGAAGAATCCAGTAGCGAGTATGACGATGAAAATGAGGAAAATGATAATGATGCAGAAATTTTTGAAGAAAGTAAAGAAGAGACAACTGAAGACGAAAGTTCGAATAGTGATGAAAACATGAGTATTGAAGAAAACAGTGCTACCTCTCAAAAAATAAAAAATAGAGGAAAAGAAACGGTAAGTAAAGATGGATCATATGTGTCTGATGACGGCAGATCACGAGAAATTGAGATGGGCGATGAAGTTATTAGCGTTCAGCAAGATAGTTCTCTAAACAAAGAGACTGAACTCGAAAGCGGAAAAGCTGAAGATCAGAATATACCGATAGCTATGGTCAATAATGGGGATTCCACGTCTGAAAATATTCTAAAAAGTAACGATATTGAGGTTAAGGTTAATCAGAGTTTACAATTTCATGACCGCATAAAGGATCAGGACCATCAGAGTAACAATATTCCTACAAGTTCTGCGGTGCTTTATGACGGTCAAGTTAACACGAATACCGAAGAAAATACCCACTCACAGGACTCTAATAATAATGTCTCTATTCACACGGGTGTAACTGATCATGTTGACCTCGAAAATTACTCTCATGATCTTTCTATTCAAATCAAATGCCCAGAAAATAATCTTGACCGAGATAATGACTTGCATCAAAATAACCAGTTGGTTGGCACTTTAGGAGATATGGAACTGGATACCGTTGACAAAACTATGCAATTTTCGCGTGAGAACGAAGAAATAATCAAACATGTTAATATTGAGGTTGAGAATTCAGAAATTTGTAACACCACAGATAAGAATATCTGCATGAATAACAGCGACCAGGATAAATTCGGAGAAAGAAATTCTGATGTCAATCGTAATTCCAACAATGCCAAAAGATTTTCGGCACAAGACAGTCAAAACACAGGAATAGATGCATTGGTAAATAATCTCGCGAACAACACAAACCTTACAGTCGAAGAACCAAAAGAATTTATAGAAAATGCACAAATGAATGAGTGCGAAAGAAATCCTGTTGGTTCTTTGAACGAAATTAAATTGAATATAGTAAGCAAGGTTAGCGACTTAAATACTAATTCAGGAACCAATGAGTCTTGCGATATATTGTAACGATAAACTTCGACCTGCTATCCAGATTCACCCATCTATTTACTGTATTCAACTATTCAATTATCATGCACAAAATGTTGAAATTATGCTAATATTTTTCGATCTTCTTTTTATGTGTTAAAGGATACCGTCGATAATGAAGATGCGTCGCACTCCAGCAAGTCTGAAGAGGTTTCAAAAGATAATCCAAAAAATTCTGCAGAATATTCGCCAACGAAGAAAGAAAATCAACATAGAAGCGTGAATTCAGCTAAAGAGAGAGACCTTTTAAACCCTGATTCAAATGCCGTAAGCACATCAAACCAGGATTCACTTCAAAATCGTGACATCCCAACGAATAATCTCATTGAACGAAGGTCTAAAACCAATCCTCCAAGCGATATCATCTCGGAATCAGAAGAATCGGATCAAACGTCATCTGATTTTGAATATGAAAGGAAAGGTGATACAAAAAAGAAACATGGAATTTCGAAGGAATTAATCAAAAATAAATATTCAATTAATGACAGAAAGAAGTTAGAGAGCTTTTCCGAATCAAACAGCGATGAAAACAATATTGTGAATGCAAACGCGAGTGATTTTCGTGAAGTTGCAAGTGAAAAATTATTGCCCGTGAAGAAAGCTTCCGGCGCGCAAAAAGAGAAAATACTTAACGAGAAAGCTGACAGCGATACGTCAAAGAATTTTGATTCGGTAAAAAGGAATGTCGATAACAACAAGAAGGATAACTATATTTCCAAAAGATACTTTTTAGATTCGGAAGATTCTGAGAATGACGCCGAACACAAAATCGTTCACGAATCTCGGTCAAAATCGGAAGAGAAGTTGAATAATAATGGCGAACATGTTATCGACGGTAAAAAAAGGGGTAGACCTAAAAAATTACAGTCACATGAAAATCCAGAAGTCACCATCAAAAAAAGAGGTAGGCCTAAAAAACAAAGGATAGACGAAAGTTCAGAAGTCGGCACAAAAAAGAGAGGTAGACCTAGAAAATTAGTCCAAAGTGATGAAAGTCATATGAAACATTCCGAAGTAGTTCTCAATCATGAGTTTGATCATCTCCAGGAAACGAAGTCAGACGATTCAAAAGCTTTCGAAAAAAATATTAAGAATATATCTAATAATTCTCGTCCACCTGAAAGTATTGATCATAACGGCAGCAAAAAGTCAGAGGTTCCTGAAATGTCAAATTCACACAAAAGAATTGAAGATCAGGTTAAGCAACATTCGAAAGACATGACGAAAAGAGTTCGCAGACAGAAGCCACGTATAAGTATAAATGATCTTTTCGATAACCCAAATATATATCCTTCATTGTATAGTTGAGACGATTGAAAGATCACATATAATTAAAGTTTCCTCATTATAAGTAACCAGGCGGTCCATTCTTTATTAATGCGTGATTTATTTAATGCTTTGGCTCAAATATGCTGTATATGCAATGTTTAATTTTATAGAAGTTCAGAATGACTCTAATTTATAATTTTTTTTAAAAAATCAAAAAAAAAAAAAAATAATAATTAATTAATTACTTCTATCTCTAGTATGTTCTATATACAGAAAAAATTAATCTCGTGAATTAAGAAAATGAAAATAAAAAACTTTTAAGTTGTAATAAATTAACATATAAGATTAATATAAATAAAATTAATGATTACTGTGCTCCATATTTACTCATTTGCGTTATAAAGTTTATATTTTTAGTCAGGATCTATAAGGAAATAATGATTTAGCAGATTGACTAATTGACAATAAAAAAAAATAATAATCGGAATCAAAATTTACCTCTTCCGACTCCGCCTCCAAAGCTTTTATTTTCTCGTGTAATCCAATGTTTTCCGCTTCCATCGATTTCAGCTTTTGCCTTAATTCACTCTTTTCTTTGATCAAAACTTCTTTTTCATATGTTGCATCTGAAAACTTATTTTGGAAATTGAGCACTTTTTCAATCAACATTTCACATTCTTCCCTTGACGACTTCAACTGTTTCCCCAAATTTTCTATATTTTGTTTCATCAAAATAACTTTCGCATCCGGTTCAGCTGCGTTGTTGGTAGGAATTGACATCAACTCACGAACCCGCCTTTCGAGAGATTCTATCTGAGATTGCATTTCCACAGAATGCTGTGTAAATTCTTCTTCGTGCTTTTCCTTAAGAGATTTAATAGAGGTTTGATGGAGATATAGAATTTCCTCCTTCTCTTCTTCGTGTGTTTTTTTCATATCTTCTATTCGTTGTCGATGGCCTTGGACGGTTTTTTCCATTCGAATGGTGGACTCCTCAAAAGATTTCATAATAGAATCCCGTTCTTGAACCATATCGGAAAATTTATTATTGAGGGATTCGATTTGAGCTTCAAGATTTTCTCTACCTACTTCATATTCCTCAACTTTTCTCGTGAGAAATTCGATTGTAGATGCAGAGGTTGCTGATTCGCCCGACAAATTAGTAAGATTTGGTTGATCCCATCCTTTTTCTTGCAACTTCTTTCGCAACTCTTCAATCTCAGCATTGGATTTATCGAGTCTATTTTGCATATCAAGTTCTATAGAATGTGATTGTTCTTTCAAGACATTTATATGAGCCTCCAAGCTCTCAATATTATCTTGAAGTTCGGAATTTTTTTCCTTAAATTCGCCCTCGTAAACCGAAATGAGATCTTCTTCCCTTTGACGCCATGCTTCTCGTTCTGCAGCTAGTTCAGCCATACAAGTGCGCATTCCATTCTGATGCTCTTCTAAGAGCTTTGATAATGTCTCTCGTTGCTTCTCAAGTTCCGAAGCGTTGTTAATAGCAGCCTCATACTCCTTTAACTTATCGTCCATTTCCGATTTAACATTAGGAGAGAGCTCGACGCTCAATTGCTCTTTCTGTGCTTCTAATTCCACATACTTATTTTGAAGCTCCTGGTACTTGACTTCCCACACTTCCTTCATGACCGAAATTAATCCAGCGAGTTTATCACGTTCCGCCTCTAATTCTTTAAGATCAGAATCGGCCACCAAGGTTTTTTCTTTAAGCTGCTTTAATTCTTCGTTAACCTTTAGTAACTCATCTTTGGCTCGTTCTTTTTCGGACGTAATTGCAATAGCACTCTCTTGGATCTCACTGTTTTTCAATTCGAGTTCCTTTACTTTCACATTGAGATCATCCGTCTTATCAGATAATTGTTTATTGATATCAAGCAATTGAAGATACTCTGAATTCAACTTCGTGTATTTAGACTCAGCCTCTTCGAGTTCCTTCGAGCTTTCGGAATTTCTTGCACTTCTAAGCGAAAGATCTTCATACCGAGAATTCAAGTTTGAAATCTTTGTTTCGTATTCACGTCTCAGTCTATCAGCATGTTCTTGCAATTTTATTTCATGAGAGGCTTCTAATTCTTTGCGAAACGAAATCATTAATTGGTCACGCTCTGCGTCATTTCGCTCCTTAATATCTTGTAATTCCTTCTGATGAGAAGTTTTTAATTGAGCACGAAGAGAAGTAATTGTTCGCTCTTGATCGCTGTTATGCTTCTCCATGAGATCCTGTAATTTCTTTTTGTGTGAATCTTCAAACTGAGCGCGAACTAAATTTATTGCTTGTTCTCGATCTTTATCTTGCAATTCCCGAATGGATTTTAACTCTTTCTGATGTTTCGACTCTAATTCACCCCGAAGCAAGGTCAATTCGCGTATGAGGTCTTTCTCATAACGTTCTTTTTGAACTTTCATTTCTTCCTTATAAGGCAATTCGATTTCGGCGCGAAGTGAAATCAATGACTGTCCACGATCTGTCTCATGACGCTCCTTGAAATCCTGCAATTCCTTCTGATGAGAAGCTTCCAATTTAGTACGAAGTGAAGCTAATTCTTGTTCGTGTTGCACTTTGAGATCTTGCAATTCTTTCTGATGCAAGGTTTCTAACTTAGTACGAAGAGACGCCAATGCCTGCTCCCTATCGAGAGTTAATCGCTTTTTCAAATCCTGTGTATCCTTCTCGTAATTCGATTCGTGTTCTTCACCATCAGCCTTAATACGATCCAGTTGTTGCTCCAACCTGGAAATAATATCTTTTTTGTCGCCTAACAAACTTTTTAGATCTTCACAATGTTCTTTGGATTCATTATATTCCAATTCAATGTCCGAAAATTGTACGCGTAAGTCTGATAGTTCTTTATTGATGTCGTTAAGCTGTTCCTTGAGAACTTCAATGAGTATCGCCGACTCATCACATTCTTTTGTTTTTTCATTTAACTTTAAATTCATATCTCGAATAGTCTCTTCGGTTTTTTGCTGAAACATTGCTATCAAGTTGTCAGTACTTTTTTTCATTCTGCTATGGGTTTTGACTTCTTGTTGTGAACGGTCAAAGTCCTGTTGGAGATTTAGCAATTTATTTTCAATAAAATCTTTTTCATGACTCAAATCATTGATTTTTGATCTTAGGTCCTCGATAATAGCATTCGCTTCATTCCTGCTCCGATACCATTCCGCTTCTCTACGATCCCTTTCTTTTAACTTATTCTCAAGTTCTTCGATTTGTGACACTAATCTCTTTTCTGATTCCCTCTTTTGCCTTTCTTGTTGATTACGAATTTCT